CTTGCTTCCACTGGGCGAAACAGTCCTCAGAGACACGGAAGTTGACCTGGGGAGCAGAGCAGGGGAGGCAGGGTCAGGCCTGGGCCGGCAGTGGTGCCTTGTTCAGCCTAGCGAGGAGGTTTGTCTCCTCCCTGGCTTTGCTGACAGTAGCAAGAACATGGGCACTGAGTGGCAAATTGTTAATCTGGGGTCACCCAAAGGTGGGGACAGCATCTACGTGGCCCTAAGCTCCCTCCCACTCAATGTCTGGAGCCCCAGGTTCTCCAAGCTGTGGCCCAGCCCCTCACCTGCAGCTTCTCAAAGACCTTCTTCTTCGGTTTGAGCTCGTCATCGGGGTCCCCGTCCTCGTAGCCCTCCACATAGACGCGGTCCCCAGGGCAGCACCCGGCTGGTGGGGCCAGGGCCACCTGCCGCGGCTCCCCCGTGCTGCCGAGAGGCGTGGAGGAAGCAAAGTCACCCCAGTGCAGTACCCCCCCTCTCCACAGCACCATCAGGCTCCGGGGCAGGAGAGGGGGATCTGGATTGTGCCCCTGGAGGGGTGCGGCCCCAACGCCTCCCCTCCCTCACCTTGAGGCACACAGCACCATGCCCTGCGACTCCACACCCCTCATTGCCTTGGGCTTCATGTTACAAAGCAGCACCACGAGCCTGTCCTGCAGCTGCTCCTTGGGGACGAAGTGCACCAGGCCGCTGACCACGGTGCGGGGCTCAGGCTCACCCACGTCAATCTTCTCCACGTAGAGGCTGTCCGCATCCGGGTGCTGCCAAGCAGAAGCAAAAGTGAGGCACAAAGAAGGCAAAAAACCAAGGGTGCCCACCCACGTCACCATGCGGGAAGGTTACTCCCCTCTCCCAGTACCTTTTCCACACTGATCACTTTGCCAACGCGGATGTCCAGCTGGGATGGGATCACCTCGCCATCTGGCTCGCAGTTCTTGGTGTGCTTCTCTACAGGTTCTGCAGTGCAAAGGCAACAGTCGAGCCACGGAGTGTAAACCCAGGGAGCTAGCCAGGCCCTGGGGAGCACACGGTGACCCCCAAATGCTGGCCCCAGGGCCCGCTGAATTCCCTGCCTGTCTCTACACCAGAGAGCACAGTCCCTCCTCCGCTTTGCTGGCCTCTCAAGCACCAGAGAACCATGCCAGCATCTGTCCTCTTGAGGGCAGGCAAGCAGCCCTGGCTTCCATCACCCTTCCTAATGCTCATCAGGGCTGCTCCTGAGAGTGAAGTTTCAGAACTTCTCTCTAACCTTGTTCCCTGGAGGGACTCTCTCCCACCCAGCCAGGGGTCCACATCCCTGAGCTCCCAGCACCTCCTTACTGTCTTTGGGATACGCCATGTGGGTCAACTTCTTCAGTTCTGGGGTGTTGAATTTCTCTCTGATGGGGTCCAGCAGTTTGTTCAGGGACACTTCCACCGAGTTCTTCAGGTCTCCAGGATGCACGATCTGTACAATGACAGACAGACGTGTTCCTGCATGGTTTCCCCCAGTGCAGGGGGAGCAGAGGAATTCGAGTCACTGGTCTGATTACCTGCTCCGCAAAGTCCTTCTCCAGGGTCTCATAGGCTGTGTAAGTTTTGTTTCCTCCCCATTTTTCTTCTCGCAGAACCACAAACTCTGCGACACAGAGAATTTAAGGCTCAGATTAACCCAAGCAGAGACTCGCCCCCTGCTCAGGCAGATAAATCACCCTCTGCACTTCACTGAAGAGCCAAGGGGGACAGGCTGCTTCAGGGGACACGTGCTCCTGTCCCCTCCTCTCACCCACAGGGAAAACTAAACCCAGTGCCCGAGCCTGGTGAGCCCCTCACCTGACTTGAGGGGGAAGAGGACATGCTTGATGAAGGAGAGGACACCATTGTTCTCCACATTCCCTGGCTCACAGAAAGCCTTCCTCAACTTCTTCTTCACATTTTCCTTGCTGTCCAGAAGATCAATCTTCGAGTCCTGCAGGAAGAGAATTCCGTTGCCCTTCACCCAACCTCTTGCCCAAAAGACACAACTCGTGCTGGCGGTGCTGCAACTTCTTACAGTTCGGTGTGAGTGGAGAGAGAAGTCACCTTCTCTTGAGATGCAGCCTCCCCAGCCCCAGCCATTACCCCATCCCTCAACCACAGCCACGGTTCAAGGACCAACCTCTTCTGAGGAGCTCATTTTGCTGCCTGTCAGACCAGGAACCATCGGGTTCATCAAATGGATGCGCTTGGCATAGCCCAGGGAAGGAAGGTACTGGGAAAAAGGAAGGAGGCAAGTCATGGACAATCCTCTTTGGAAGACTGGTTTTAACTCACAATCCCCGTTTGCTCCTGGCTCCAGGTAACTTGGGGACCCTGAATAACGGGACCCAGGACGCCATCACGGACTCACACAGTACTGATGGCCACAGCCAGGGTGTGTGGCAGCACTATTTTGCCCACCAGAGTCCTGCACAGCAGCAGCTGAAAAGAGCCTTGTGGTGCCAACCACAGCCACACACACGCTTCTCCCAATGGATTAGTGAGCATTTGAGCTCTGAGCCAGACACCAGCATCATAGCGAGCTCACAAACACCCCCATTCCTCACCTTCTCTGCAAAGGTGAATATCTTCCTCTGATCAACTCCTCCAAACTGTGCGTCGACCTTGAGGTACTCCTCATCCAGGGCCTGCAGAGAGACCCACACAGCCTTGAGACTGGACCCGAGACTCCACACTCCAGCCGTGCTCAGCCTTCAGAGGTCGTGCCTATCCCCCAGGATCTGCCCAACCTCTGTCGGGGCGCTTTGGCTCCGAGAAGGCTGGGAGCTCTCCGGGCTGCCTGCTGTTCTGTAGCTGGCCAGAGTCACTGTAAGAGCAGCTCTGTGCTCAGGTTGTGCTTTGTGCTGCTGCCAGGTGTAATACTGGGGTGGAGCATAACGACCTTGCCATTTAGCTTCACATGTCCCTGCAGCCCTGGCTTTGCCCAGCACCCCCTCATGCCTCATCACATACCTGAAGGCCTGGGTAGAGCAAACCACTCAGCAAAGGGTGCTCCACCTGCTTCACCACCTCCGCTCCGGCCTTCTTCGCATCGTGCTGCGTCACCACGGAGGAGAGGCGGTACACGTCCAGCGTGTACTCCCTGAGGGAAGGAACAGCACTGTTAGCACCAGGCAGGCTGACATCTTTCAGAACTGCTTCACACAACTGCTGGTTCTGGCCGCATCAAGAAGAGCCAAGGCCTGGAGGCACCTTCATTTTGCTCCCTAGATGACAGTGCCTGGGAGCAGGCTCAGGAACAGGGCAAGCTCAGGAAGAGCAGAGCCCCAGGTCAGGCTCTCCTCACCCAAGAGGACCAGATACCCCAGGACTCACTTGCTGAGCTGGTAGTCAGTGCCCTGGACGAACTTCAGTTTTTCCAGGGGCACTCCAATGCTCTCCAGCATGGCTTTGATCACGTTCTCGTAATAGCGGGTGCGCCACTTCAGCAGCTCCCAGGGAGCCTTCATGTTGTCTAGGTAAGCGTGGAGGTCAGCAAAGAGTATTGTCACCTAGTGTAGAGAGGCACAGCGT